TCTGATGATATACACAAAAAGTAGTTGATTGAAAGTTTGAGCTAAATCTTCAACATGATAATCTGATTTGTCCTGCCAACTCAGATGACTTCCCCGTTTTTCTTCTCTTAGTAGACTGTTCTTCATACAGTTAACCGGATAACCAATGACACTGAACACTTAGCAAAGGTGTTTTTCTTCTGACTTTGGTAGTTTTTGAGAGCTACATTTAGTCCTGATGCGTACAAGTAGTTCTTGCACTGGTCTCTTTTCTGCGACGCCGGTTGTTACTTCTGTGACTTTGAAACGAGATTTATGTGTTTTACCTTCCTCTTCAGCCGAGTTCATATAGTTCTGTCATGTTTCCTACCAACACTATCGTCTATATATGTGAATTCATTACTTTTTTCTTCTTTGCGAACTAAATACCTTCAAATGCTTGACTGAAGAGATAGAATGTATTTTACAGGCCATTTGTTTCGAAAGTTACAGACTTGTCTTTGACATGATGAATTTAAATTTTAGAAGTGATTACTATTGTGACTATCGATTATAATCTTTGCATAATCGCTGCTGTGATCATTCCCTATATTAGTGAGCTCATGGTAACTTCTGTGGCTTTTTTACAGATCCTTCCCTGGAACAAAAACTACTTCTTAAAATACAGGTTGATTAGTTTCCCTAATTCCCTGTTACTAATTTTATTACACGTATGAAGATTCCTCTAATCATCCGGAAAAAAACTGTTTCATTTGTATGCAGGACTGGAGTGTGGTCATTTAATCGACCTCATCTAGCCACAGTAGTAAGTCTTCAAAATTCACCGTGAAAGTATCCGAAGGCCTATGGGCTAGCTGGCGTGGACTCATTGGGATAACATTGAATTGTAGATCAGAAAGTGAGCTTTTTGGCTGGATAAAAATTAACAGCTGTCTATGTGCTCTTCGACTGAATGGGACTAGACGATACTTCCTCTTGATCTCCACCTAAGCATCCACTAACTGTAGCTCGGACAGTGTAATGGATAAAGCCACTGAAACTCATCACTGACCTGCAACCCATATTACAGATATACGCCACCTGACTTGGTCCAAGGGGTCTCATACATTTCAAAAGGCATACACCCCTCAGGGAAGGTTGCAGATGTACTCTGACAACCTCACCATACCTCATATGCGTCGTGAGACGCATACCATCTCGCAACCAAGTGGAAATCAGGTTAGGTACCTAGAGTTGCTAATGAACATCTGAAATGGTCATTTTTATTGATCTACAACCCATGTCAGAGACACAGGTAAGCACGCCTGTCTATGGTCGGTTGGAAGATGAGAAAGTCAAGTTTGAATTAAGGGAAGAGATACCAAAGTGTTTATCTGAACATGACAGCAATGCTCACCCTGAGGAAACCTGGCTTGATTTTAGTCTGTGGTAAATTCGATTGTTAACCTACCCCCGAAGCTTAACAAACGTCATTGGATTTCCGTGACGTCGTGCGAACTGACTGATGCCACCAGACTGATCCCAGCAATCTCTGGCCAGGACGAAGAGTGGAAGCAACCTAAAAGTAAGCTGATCAAGAGTCTTAGTGTCGATCGCGGACAGTGGTGGATAGTTTAAGCGACAGAGATGGAGAAGACATCAGCAACTTTTTAGGTCTATTACGGATGCCATCAAGAAAAAGACGTTGGTGAGTGAAACCGTCACCGAGAAGGGTGGGACGCTGATAAGCTCTCAAGAAAGACAACTAAAATGTTGGCCAGAACAACTTGAAGCACAGTTCAACTGGTCATTAGTAACTCTTCAGTTGCCCAAGATCCTGCCTGAACCTGAATGTGACGTAGATGTCGGTCCTCCAACTCTTCCTAAAGCTAAGAAAGCTGCATTAAGCCTGAAACGATCCAAAACAGCAGTACTTGACAGTTAGTCACCTGAAATTTGTGAGGATGGAGGGAGGAAATTGCTGCTTAAAATAATGAGGGTACTAAGTAGTGTATGGGAATTACAGGTGATACCGTCAGAATGGTGTTCTTCACTGATCATCATAATCTACAAATAGCGAGAGGAATCTTCTTGTGACAACCACATGGAGATTACTTCGACTAATATTATGTCCAAGGTCGTAGGGTCCATAGACATATGACTTCTGAACTGGAGCTCGAGAACATTAAGAACGGGAAAACCAGGCAGGTTTAAGACCTGTATAAACGTGTATCGATAGTACTTTTACTTTCCAACAGGTTCTGGAACATAGGTTTTCCTACCTATGGCCGACTTTTTCCACATTTTTTGACCTGAAGGCTGGATTTAACCCTGCTGATCGTGAGGTGTTGTGGCAATGTTTGACTATGAAAAAAGTACTTAGCATGTATATGACGCTAATCACAGCTATCCTCAAAGTTACACTGCCGTATCAGGGCTAGAGTTGTCTTCACCGTTGACAAAAACTAGCACTGTTTCTCCCCAGGGATACCCAATGTCACCGTTCCTCTTTAACTTCGTCATGGACCTACTAATGGACCTAACCTTAGGTGTGTGTGACCTCAAGGGATTAAACTACTCCCTTGACGTCATCTGATTGACCTGGAGTATGCAAATGAGATTGTCCTAATAGGTGTGGACGCTGAAAAAATGTAGTCTTCGTGATGCATTGAGCAGGAATAAGAGTATCTTTGGCGTGCATTTTGCTGTCACCTGTCAAATGTAGGTTGATGCTCCAGGACTGATCTGCAACCACTCAGCTTACTCACAGGAAGTGAAGTGGTGGAAAGTATCGACCACTTCACTTACGTGCGAAGCTACATCAGACCTACCAGGCTGGTTGCTGACATGATCTCTGCTCAGATACAGAATGTTTCTTTGGCGTTTTTTAACTTGTGTCACCTGTGGTTCAAACTGCCGAGATATCTGACCATCTTTAAAGGAAGAGTATGCTACGCTACAGCCCGTTCTGTCCTGTTATATGGCTGTTAGGTGCGGCCCTTAACAGTAGAAGACATTTAGGGGCTGCAGCTAATAAATCGCAGGTATCTGCGCAGCTTTAATCGTGTTAGTCAAGAAATGAAAATAAATTGATGAGGTTGTAAAGACAAGTTGACTGAGACAACTTCAACAACTACTGCACATCCTAAGCCGCCACCTACCTCAAAGTGCGATACTGGTTAAAAGAGTTCGATTAGGTTAGAAAAGGGTTCGAGATGATCACACCAAGTCACATCACCAGTCGATCAAGTCTCTTGCTGTTGGTCTGAGTAGTATGAGCAGATATAGACTGTCTGGTTAGGGTTTCTAAAGCGACAGGAATCAGCGGTCGCAATGGTCCAAATCCATTCACTTCTTGACATCTGAAGCTTGAGTACTGTAACCTACCTTTATCATAAGATTGTTTATTAGCTCACATAACTATGTCTACCTTGATATTTTTCTTTTCCTGTCCACCTGTTTTTGTATATTATCATGAAGTATGGCAACTGTATGCGAGGCTTTACGTTGATCATATCAGTCATTCGATCACCGGTTAGGTTTTGGTTGAATAGTGCAAAACGCTCACTTTGATTCGAAGACAATTTTTTCTTCACTGTCACCTCGAAGGCTGCTATTCTGTCTAGGGATTCATTACTTCATTGACTGAGCATTGACATCCATCGAGAAACAATTTCAGCTCTATACTTATTTTTGATGTTTTGAATTATGGTGGTTTTCGTATCGACACAAGTTGTCACGATGCAATATACGCTTTGTACCTTATAAGCTGATAATCGAATTTAGGAATAACTCAGTCATTCCCTTTCACTTATCTTTCGGCTTTTTTCATTATTTAACTAACTTTGAGTAGACTATGTACTGTTAGTTGGTTGAAAGCAACCGGCAGGAAGCCCTGCCTGACCTAAATTTCGTGCTTGTTGGCACTTGTCAGCAAAGCGTATCTGCAACCTCTTGAGAGTTGATATTCCTCTCAATTTTCAAACCCACGTCACCCAGCATCTTACCCAGCTAAGTTACTACTGAACTACTCAGGCAAAAACTGACCTCCTATACGACTTGGTTACATGCATTGTTCCTTAAGGGGGCCAGAAATCATAGAATTTGTTGCTCTGCCGTAGCCAATCAATGTTTGTACAACACTGTAAATATAAATCAGGACTAAATTATGACTGAAAACAAACACTGAGAAATTTAATCAACATAGATAGAATACACAATTTCCTGTTTTGAATTCCTGATTGGCTTGTTTTTGATCGGTAAACAAAACGAAGTACCTACCGAGTAAAAGGGAACACTTGATCTTCCTAAATGCGAAGTTTAAGTTTAATAAATCTTATCACATCAGCCTCATTGTGTTGAGCAAGCATGTTGTATTGTTTTTAGAATAATATGTATTATAATGAACGTTTTATTCGCATCTGTGTAGTGGTTTGTGTCTACTGGGTTCCTCTGGGTGGAACTTTTCACCACTTTCACTTCGCCTTTTGAGAACTAAGTCAATAAATGCTCTCATATCTCGAGACACACCTGCCAAATCGTGAGCCCAGTGATGCTCGTTCCACAGGAACAGTTAAGTTGCCGTCCGTAAGATGAAGGTCTAAGACCGGGTAGGCTATCCATTATTCTGGGATTGAGCATTGGTCAATTACTGAAGGACTTGCAAAACTGACCGTAAATTTCGTTCTATTGGTTGTTCTGTCTAGGCGTTGAGATAGGATGTCATTTGGAGCAGTGAGAAAACATTTTGTGATAACGTCTTGTAGGCTCGGTTTTCAGGGCATAGTAACCAACAGTTTGTCACGTTATTTAATTACCAGTGAAATTATTTTTGCGTATAGATTGTTTTATCAACAATCAGCCTCTCTTCAAATAATGTCATTGAGGTGCTGATGAAGTGTAGTTAGTGAGAAAAGAGTTTATTTCCCCCAACCTTAAACTTCGAAAGTGGTCAATAAAATTATTTCGAAAGATTCATTCAGTCAGAAGTGTGAATTCATGTCTTTGTATGATTAAATTATTTTCATTCCATTTGGATCTAGTTAAAACAGAAGATACATCAGCTACATCGAAAGATAACATGACCTCACAGTCAACTAAAGCACAGGTTCTGGATACAGGAGATATTTTGACTACATTCCCTACTACCGTAAATCGTTCACATAATACAAACCCCCCTGAAACAGTCTCAGTCAACAGACACATTAGTGCAAACATGGAGAACACAAGCTGTCTCGATTTATTGGAGAACTGTACCAGACAACCAACGTGCTCATGGGCATTAAATAAATTTCGTGCACTATGTACTGTGAGAACATGTGACAAATTAAAGTGAGTAGTTTCGCAATGATTTATATCTTTTTTCTTATCTTTCATGAGTATGAACATGTCTTCAAATATTATTTTGTGAATATCTGTGTATGCCAGGAATGCATCCTTCGTTTTATCTACACGAGAAATTACATTATTTACCATGAAAGCGTCAAATATGGTTGTAACACTTTCCAAAGTTATTTATTATTATTTTATTATTTGTCCCTTGGGTTCCTAGTGGAATATATAGACTCAGTAGCAAGTCTCCAGTGCACTCTATTCTCTGCAATCTTTTCAACCTCATTACACGACAGCCCATATACTCTCATTCCCCCTCACACACCATCTACTCCATGTCACCTTCACATCGGATACCCTACTCGTCACTTCCAATCTGCGTTCCACTCAACAGCCTGGCCTGGTGCGTGATGTCCCCAAACCATCTCCTCAGTGTATGCACAGTCAAATCCATCTTCACTTCCTTGCACTACATATTTCCTCAAAGGTAGCTTCTTGGTTGGTTCGTTGCCATCCAACCAGTCAGATTTCCTTGTTGCTTATTCTCATTATTCTGACCATCTGAGCTTCAGTATAGAGCCAGTGTAGGTAGTTGTTGATCAATGTCTGTAGTCTGTTGGAAGTGCTTTTCGTAATTGAGCCAAATCTCTGAAACATACAGAAACACTGACTTAACTGACATTGGTGTTGACAATCGGGATGCTGTTCATGCTTTATGCTGAGTGCAGAAGATCTCCACATTGGGTTCAGGTTAATGAACACCTGTCTTCCCTTTCTGATCCTGGCTGACTTTGACATCCTCGTCTGTGTCATCGCCTACAGCTGAAACATTGCTGCCTGCCTAGATAGGTGAAAGAGGCTACTTCTTTCAAGTTTCTCCCACTGATGGTGATCGGAGCTTGTTGTTGTTGTTGGTGGTGGTGTTAGTTGGGTATCATCATCACCCCTGTCTTCTCTACGTTCACCTGGAGGAAGTCCCGTCTTCACTGCCCTGCCTCACCTCTTCTATCAAGTTGTTGGATTTTACCTGTAGATCTTCAAGTTTGTGTGACATAAGAGATAAGTCATCGACGAAATCTAAATCTTCTAGGATCTTTTTCCCGGTCCAGTGTTGCCCTCACTGTTTGTTGCATGACCCAGTCTACTACAATCGGGACGATCATGTGTAATAGTAGACAGCCTTGGCTTACTCCTATCTTCACTTCAAAAGCATCACTGAACTTCTCATTGTGGATCACTTGGCATGTGGCGTCTTCATATAGTTGTCGAATGAGGTTGACAAAAGTTTGCAGTATTCCGTAGTGTTGAAGCAACTGCCGAATTACTTGTCGATCGACGCTGTCAAAGGCCTTTTCAAAGTTGATAAATTTGAGGTAGAGGGTTTCCAAAGTTGTCTAGTAGATAAGTATTAGATACTGTCGTTTTTGATGAAACTAATGAATACTTTTGCCATAGTGACACGAAGAAGAATTCAGAAATCAGTTTGCTGAATAAATTTTATGCGTTTATTAAACATTTTGAAGAGTGATAAAAATCCTGCATCGGTGAAAGTAAAACAATCTAAACTAGACCGAGTTTTACCCAAGATCATGTATTATTAATATATATATATATATATATATATATATACGTATATATATATAATGAATATTAATCACTTTACTTCAGATAATAAAGGGGATTCTCAGTGTTTACTCTTTCAACTAATTGACTCCTTGTGCAACATTAGCAACTGAAATAACTATGGCATTTAGGTAACGTTAATGATAACAGTATGATGAGTAGAACTAAATAACAACCAGTTATTGACATGTTAACGTATAGTTTAAGGGTCTTTATTGCACTAAGAGCACCTGTAAGGTTGGCGATAGACGTTAATGTCACGAGAATGGAAATCTGCATCTATGGCTGATTATTTTACTATTACTCATATGATATATGATAAGCAACTGATATAAGAGTATATATTGTGCGCTGCAGTAGAAAGTAATTCCATTTTGATTGGTTTATTAGATTTATCGTAGCGTAAAAGTTATATTCACTGGACTACACTTCGGACATAATTTATCGTCCATAGTCATATAAACATAACTACACAACTTTGAGATATACTTTATACAATTACTCCGTATTTCCATTTTAGTCTGTTTATTAGAAATATCACACAGTGAAACAGTACCATTTACTCGATAACGTTTCGGACACAATTTATTGTCCATATTCATATCAGGTAACCAACTCCACAACTTCAAGACAGTCTTTATGTACTCCTAGGTTTCTCTTCTTCTCTGTGGTGACAATGGTAGTAGAGTTTTCCATATATCTGGCAGGGGTGCAGCATCATTCCTATTACATGTGTTTGGTGTTGATTTGATAAACAAAGCTTCGGTTACCAATCCCTCCCTCCAGCAAACTAAGTTAGTTTTCAACACTGTCGCCCATCCCACCCTACTGTGTGATTGTGTGTCATCGTATGCCCAGCTATAGCCGAGTTTTTCTCTAGATTTCTTATTTTATTAGGATCTACTAATCTGCGACAAGAGCTATAGCCGAGTTAGGGTTAGTGTCTACAGAAAACCTCCACACTCGAATCATTGCTTAGACTTCAAATTATCTCACCCCATGTCAGTTAAATGTTGACTTGGTAAGGTGTCCAGGTAACAGGGTAAAAAACTTACTAGTAAAGCAGAAGACCCAAGACAAGAAACCAGATACATTAAAGACACTCAACAACAATTACCCTCCCAGATTATTGATAAGTTCTTTTGAACTCATCAGAAAAATATAACTAATATTCATAACACAGGTAATAATAGTAGTCACAATAATGTTAATTATAGTAGTTGGATTCTGTGAGTCGAGAATTCCAAACCTTCACAGTAGAAGGCATATTAGAAACTCTATGTGGGATTCTCAATAACTCTGACTGGGACTAAAGTAGCGTATAAACCCACAAACGCACTGAAAAATAAGCTACTTAGGTCAAATGATCCCAATGATCCAATTAAGCAAAATCACTTGGTTTACCAAATACCTTGCAACGAATGCGAGGTCAAATACACAGGTCGATATAGTCGACTACGTTCATTATGCTATCCCAGAATAAACTCCTAGCTAGGACAAAATCGGTAGATCCTAGTTAGGTGAGGAATTCAGGAAAAAGCTCAGCCGTAGCTATGCATGCGATTACACACAACCACACAATAGCATGGGACAGGGTAAACATTCTTAAAACTAACACAACAGGGTGGAAGGAGAGATTAACAACTGAATCTTTGTTCATTAAATCAACACTGAACACATGCAACAGGAATGACTCAGCATCTGTTTTGGATATATGAAAAATCTTACTACCCATATCACAGAAGAGCGAGGAAACTCGGATTAATTATCTAAAGGATGTCTCAAAGTTGTGTAATTATATTGATATGACTATGGACAATAAATTATGTCCGAAATGTAATCCAGTAAACAACACTGTTATATTGCGTGTATATGATGAACTGTTGTGCAACGAAATCCCACTGCCAGCTATCATCTAATTGTTTCCTTATTTTGTTATCGTCCTAACAAACAACAAGTTAAAGTAATTAAAAAATACGCAACAGAACCTTCAGCGATTTGTTGACATCTGAAGGGTTAAAACAACATCAAATGCTTCGACTCGATATATTATATTCAATGGAAACCTTTGATAGTCCATAATTTAAACAGGCTACCAGTATATTTATGCTAACATTGGAGTAGTACCTCGGCGCTGTTCAAATTAAGAAGTTAACTAGTAGATTCATACCTGTTAATTAGAAATGAAAGTAAATTTTTAAAGTTTTCTTCCCATTTCCATGAAAAATTAACATTGATAAAATTTTGACTGTAGTGCTTAATAATGATGAATACATTTTAACTCTAACTTGTTATATTAAGCAATATATTCATCATTTAACTGAGTTCATCTAACTTGTTCATCGTGTTCCAGTGCATAAATAACTTTTACACTAACAGTCGATAAAAAGAACCAGTAATAATGATCAAAATATCAAATGCTTTTCTAGTTACTAATAAACTCAAAATCTTTTCATTTTTATTGTGTGATTTTTTTTCTACGATGAACTTTTCAGGTTACAATGCCTTGAAGCATCAAAGACGTTTATTCAATTTAAAACTCATACAAATTGTGATTGTCAAAGTGAAATGAATGAAGATAGATATCGAAGATGTTTAGACTATAAAGAGACAGTAATCGACAATAAATGTGTTGGTGAGTCCAATTAATTAAAATATCATTCACAGTTATTTATAATCAGTTTATCTGGAGTTATTGTGTCATTTAGTATACTATTTTTCATTACGTAATAGGCAAGTCAATGCGAATAGCATAAAATGGCTCTGTACTTGAAAATAAACTAATTTCCAGCATATTCCCTACACTTTTAATGCAAAACTTGTTTGAAACAAAATACACTGAAAGAGCATCCATTATTTTTGCATGGAATATGCTTAATATTGTGAAGTGAAAGAATAAAACATGTCAACAGTCCATGCTCATGGATGAAAATAACATTAGGTAATTTCATGGTAAAATAGCGAAATTCGCTTAAGTAAATCCTGAAATCTGTTTCATATCTAAAGGAAACCACTGAATTTCACTCAATCTAGCTTGGTTATGGCCAGTAGAAGAATACAGGATGCGCGTTTTGTCCTACTTGGGACTGGTCAGCTGGATGTACCTGCACCTCAGTACGGAATGATGCCATTCACGCCGAGACGCCAACCTTGAACCCATCGCTTTAAACGCCAATGTGTTATCCACTATGCTACGGAAGAACGATAGCCGATTCTTGTACAACGAGTAGCAGTTATTGCTATTTATTGACACACTTGTAGTTCTTCGTTGTTTTCTTGTTTCAAATTGTTTGAACTCTATTGACATATGGGCTCTTATGCGGATGTCATGATATTGCCTGAATGTAAATTATTGTAATTTAGATTCCCACTCAAGTTGAATATTTACTTTGTATGCAAAATGCTGCCGCTATGTAAATCGTTGGTATAAATAGATTTTACAGTGTTTAGTTAGGATCAAATTGAACCATACAGAGAAATATCGAATTCGTTTTTACCGGTAAATATGAAATCTACTATCACGGACTTATAACTTTTGGCATTCCATGGAAGTTTACTTCTTCTATCTCTTCACTGAGATGTAGAGTAATTTGGCTCAGGAGGATGATTTCAATGTTGTTGTGTTCTATGAACCAGATGGTTTAATTCGTTGATTTATACCTTTCAACAATAAACTCTATGAATACACCAAAAGATGAAAAATGGAATCATATGTATGAATACTAATTGTGGAAACAGTATTGCTAAAATTTAAAACTGTATTTTTATGTACTCTAAACACAAGGTTAGATTAGGAATAATTAGAACCGCGAGTATTCAGAAAATAAATTCCTATGAATCAAATTCTCAACCAGAGTAGCAACAACAACAAACAATAATGATTGCAGAAAAACCCTATTCAGAAGAGCGAAGCACGCTGTAGTACATCAACCTTACGGAAAAAAAGAAAACTGTTTTCCAGAAGAACAATCATCCACGTAAATTCATCAAAACATGTTACTCTAATTTTCTGTCAACTAAAACATAATCCTTGAGACTATCCCACCTTATATGAAAAATATCTCCGAGGTTGAAATTAGATTATTGAATTCTTTTAGGAAGTGTAACTTATAAACGAATTAATTTCTTCACGTTGTTGTGGAAGCTAAAAGATGCAATCGAAGAGAAACACAAGCAAAACGTCATCTACAAAATTTACGGCAAATTATGAGAAAAACACCATATCGGAAAGAGTTGTGACTCTTTTCGTATCCCTTTGTATAAACATCAGCCAGCAATGAAGCATCATGAAATATCTTCGTTCATATCATGGACATGGATTCGACTGTGAAAATGAAGAAATCCTGGATAGAGGGAATTCAAAGAATGTCCAAGAATGTGTAGAAGCTTGTTATTTAGGTCAGTCAGCAATCAACAGACAATGGCATTGACCCAATTTATCAAACGATAAGAAACAAAGAGCAGAACAGAGTTCTCGTCAACAGAACAACTAAACAAACTACGTATGGAGACAATGACAAGATTATGTTCGAAACAACTGGTCATACAAAATATCATCAGAGAAAGCTAGTAAACCAGTTGTGGAAAAATTCTAAAGCTCATTTTTCTCTGAAGTTAGTGTTGATAATGTTGAATAGGATAACAATGAAGGTTTACCTAATTTTCTATCCAGCTCAAACAATAAATACCATCAAAATATTCAGAAAACTTCAAATTAAAACACTATACTGTAATTTAATTTTGAGATAAACGTTGACCGGAGGAAAATAGCTGAACTAAAGTCTAGTTTAAGAACTCTTTCACTTACTATTGGCTTATAAAGACGAACTTTATCATTATAAATAGGTTACACCCTACTTTTTATTCTAAACCAATGAATTTGAACAAACCTATAATATGTTGCTAGCTAATATACTTCTTAAAGAAGAGTTTGTAATAAAAAGATGAAGTGGTTGATAGCATTACAAAAGTAAAACGTTTACGATCAATAGTTGTCTTGGAAACTTTCCAAATACTTGAAAATGAAAATGAAGTGAACTTTCATGCAGGTTTACTTTCAAAACTACAGTTTCATAAAAAATTAGTTGATTTATTGCAACTGAATACGAATATTAATACTACTCACTGAATTTAGATGATTTTAAGAGAGTAATAAAAGTTTCCCATGTGGGTTAGCTGTGGTTCGATCTTTAAAATAATATCTCATCTGATGGCAGTACAACCTATAATGTCATGCACGTTTTGAGGTCAGGATGTATCCGGATACTAAAACGTATACCAGGAATATGTCTGATAAATTATTAGTGACTTTATTCACGTAATTTATCTCTTTTTTCTAAAATCAGTCAAAAATCTCTTAACGCGAAGGCTTAAATTAGACAAATGAAACTGCTTTCTTTTCCTAACAAAAATTAATAAGGCTGGTGTACAGTCTGATTGGGAACACTATTGTTTACCGGAATGCAGGTACTTCTAGCCGAATAGTCCTCAATAGCATGTAAAGCAAATCTTCTACTCCCCAAGTGGTCTTCAACAAGCTGAAATAAGTCAGCAAATAGGTTATCAGATACTTGCTGATTAGTTGATGCATTTGGCATGAAACTTCAGGGTCCTGAGTCTGATCCGTGACAGTGTTGTGAGTAGGTATTACTGAGAATCACGATACCAAGACGAAACAGTTGTCTAGTGTTCCCAGGTTTTCAATGGTCCTCCAAATTATGTCAGTTCCTGATGAATACTACATAGAAAATAAAGTCCCAAATCACCTGAAAGTTAACCTTTATAATGATATAGAGCCGATGGCAAAGAAATAATCGAAAAAAAACAGTTTTTCGCCCAATCCGTCTTTTACTTTAAACAGCTAATTGAGAATTTTTGATATGATGATATGATGATTTGGGTTATAACTGACTGGTAATATTGTCTTTGTGAAAAAATCAGTAATTCAGTTTCTTCTTGTTTTTTACATAAAATAAATTTCACTTTGTTATTTATATCATATGTAGAAATTTCATCAAATGAGCAGGTGACTACAGGCCATTTTAATGAGTTGGAGTATTCATACGTCAATCAGAATTTCGAGAAGAGTTCAACGTATGCACCAACTTCACCTGTTCTTCATTTCACCTATCCAAAAGTAACCCATGACAATTCAGTCTCTGAAAAAAATGAAAAGCTGTCGGTTAACAATTCTTCGAATAGTCATCTTCATAGACAGGAAGAAAAGGAGATAATCGGTGCAACAGCAGTACTTATGGAGACATCAAGTAATAATTTTTGCATTTACCTTATAACTTTTAAATATCAGGTTCACATTCATGCAAGTACGAAAAACCGAATGAAATACATTTCACGTTTGTGACGTATACAGAGCATACGAACACTTCCTACAGAACGTATATATAAATGGAACACTATAGTGTGGCAAATTTTCTATTCAACCACCGTATGGACTAGAACGGTTTATTGAGACTATAAGGCATAAAAGTGTTTGCCTTTTGAAGAAAATATTTGACCTAAATATTTCGTTTCTCAAATGAATTTCGAAAAGTAGGAAGATATTTTCGGTTTGAACTATGTAACACAGTTGCGTAACACATTTCAAGCAATCTGATTGCACACACCTTTTTTGAGATATTTATATGGGAAGTATTAAAACTATTTTAAGGTGTGATTAAAAGAATGAAGATGAAATGAGACGGTTGAACTCAGGTTCAGAATAACTATGAGAATTAGTTAAGCGAAAGCCGAATTTATTAAGGAAGCTTTAATTTAAGGACAAAATAATCAACTCAGATGTTTGCTACAGGCATTATAACAATGGATTATTTCATCCGTCATTTCGGCTACTCAAGTGCGTGTTCGTGATCTTTTCCCTGCAAACATAGAGGTCATCTTCCTATGTGTATATAGTCACACACATATAAACGGATAAATGCAGTGGGATATGACACCTGCTCTGAGGGCTAAAAATCTTAGAGTGGTTGACTTTTTCAAGTAATCTTGACCGTAGCTGCACAGTTTTTCTTTTTCTTAATAACAAGATTCTGTCTCCGCCTAACGGTCAATCCATGACAGTCACTGTTGCAACAAAGGTCACTGATTACCTTTTTTACTAATTATCCACTGAAGAATAACAGAAGTCATGTTGTCGAGCTGTAAGTGCTACCTTATTTTACCTGTGGTTTCGCTATTCAGTTACCAAGCTAAAAGACAAATTAACACTATCCACTGTGAGTGATGTTAGTTGGTTGAAGGGATTTTTCAGGAACCACTGACCATACTTCTTACAGTTGTTGACACTAGTCAACGAGATGTAATTGTACCTATTCTTAGAATATCCAGTGACTTCTGTCGCACGATTTGCTAACTAAAACTTACGCGTATTGCATCTAACAAAAGTGATGATAAGTTAGGCACCATTATGTTTAAATAGCCTTATTCTAGGCAGATCGTTTACCAGTCAATATATTGAAAGAAAGACAAGTAATTATCTTTGTATTCTAGGCATTCAGAAGACACGCCTTTCAGTATATCAACAGAACATCAGAGTAACTTTAACAATCACTTATAATTTGGATATCATCAAGTTATCTCCCGAAGAAAGAGGTGTTCCCTTTAAGAGCATCATATTTAAATTTTCAACATCTGACAGACAGGTGTACGCTGAATGCTAGCCGAAACGATTTATCATAACAACAATATCAATTTGATAGGAGTGATCAAAATGAAAATCTGCAAATATGCCAATGATGTCAAAGCAACTTTTACTTTTTTCTGAAGGTTAATTTGAAGGTTCACTTGTATAAATGGTTCTTGATAATTTCAAATAATTCTATTGGCCACTAGAGAAGCTTTTGTGATGGTAACGTATGGAGTGACATGATAAGCCGTCGAGAAATTCTTGGTACATACAGATATAACTATTAGGTTGTCTTTGTTGGTTAGATAGATGTTCAGAAGATCCACTGCAATACTTATAAATTTCAGAAAAAGAAGTTGCTGACGAATTTGATGTCACCATCAAGACTTGATAATATTTCACATTTATATCTGCCTTTGTCCATAATTCCAACTGCTAAGCCTTTTGTTAGCGGTAAGAATACTGATATCAGAATTATGCTGTACTTCCCTCGTTACTCTGAAATGTTCTGTGGTTGGAATGCCTTTCTCATTGACATGATCATTTCAAAGTTGTTTATCTGCACAGACCAGCTTGAATCTGAACCAAATTTTGGACAATAAATTTTTAGTGTTGCTATGAAAATTTAAAGTGGTCATGCATAGGTAAATTAGAAAATTGATGATGACAGAGTCACAATTTAGTTCAAATAGATGAGGCTGCCTTTTGATATATGGGTAGTATAAGGCTAGAAATATCAGTGATATACCTGTCTAAATTGTCAGGGATACACTTTGTATAATATTCTAGGTCAACAGGACTCACTACGTTCTTATGAGTGATATCTTTCATTTTATTAACAAACACTTCAAAATGTTTGACTAACGCATCAGTGATAAACCCTACGGAACACACCATGAATTAATTAAGGGTGTAAATGATTGTTGCAACTTTTTTTTCCTCATTTTCTAAGTGATTTCGAATAAATCAAGAGACTTTCAGCTGTAATGCAGTGCATTTCTATGTTTTGTAAAGCTGTCTAAACAAAAAAGCGATCAGAAATGCATAAACGATAAAATCCAGCTCACTCTCATTCGAAGATATTTTCGTACCTGAATTCATTTGTCTGCTTTGTAATATACAACGAGAGATTTCGCTTTGCAAATTGAAAATAATTACTTCCATTTATCGATTTCAATAAAACAATAAGATGAAGTAATTTATCTGTTAAATAATTTCACTAACTTGTGAAATAAATCAAAAACACTTGAGAATGTGATTAAAATTTTGAAAATGTTTCATTAGATAATTCAGGGTAGTTGAAATAAATACAAACTTTGATCTGTCAACAATTTCATGCTTCATTAAGTTTCAAAAAAATAAGAACAAATGAGTAAAGCTTGTGCAATATCATCATGCAGCAAACAGTGAGGAACGAGAAGAGAGAGCAACACTAGACCGGGAAAAGATCCTAGGAGATTTGGATTTCGCCAGTGACTTATCTCTAATGTCACACAAACTTAAAGATCTACAGGTAAAATCCAACAACTTGATAGAAGAGGTGAGGCAGGACAGTGAAGACGGGACTTCCTCCAGGTGAACGTAGAGAAGACAGGGGTGATGATGATACCCAACTAACACCACCACCAACAACAACAACAAGCTCCGATCACCATCAGTGGGAGAAACTTGAAAGAAGTAGCCTCTTTCACCTATCTAGGCAGGCAGCAATGTTTCAGCTGTAGGCGATGACACAGACGAGGATGTCAAAGTCAGCCAGGATCAGAAAGGGAAGACAGGTGTTCATTTACCTGAACCCGATGTGTGAATCTTCTGCACTCAGCATAAAGCATGAACAGCATCCCGATTGTCAATACCAATGTCAGGTAAGTCAGTGCTTCTGTATGTTTCAGAGACTTGGCTCAATTACGAAAAGTATTCCCAACAGACTACAGACATTGATCAACAACTGCCTACACTGGCTCTATACTGAAGCTCAGATGGTCAGAATAATGAGAATAAGCAACAAGGAAATCTGACTGGTTGGATGGCAACGAACCAACCAAGAACCTATCTTTTGAGGAAATATGCAATGGAAGGAAGTGGAGCTGGACTGGACTGTGCATACACTGAGGAGATGGTTTGGGGACATCACGCACCAGGCCAGGCTGTTGAGTGGAACGCAGATTGGAAGTGACGAGTAGGGCATCCGAGGTGAAGGTGACATGGAGTAGATGGTGTGTGAGGGGAATGAGAGTATATGGGCTGTCGTGGAATGAGGTTGAAAATATTTCAGAGAATATAGTGCACTGGAGACTTGCTACTGAGTCTATATGTTTCACTAGGAACTCAAGGGACAAATAATAATATAATAACATGCAGTATCATGAGGTTGAAACCTGTCACAGTGGGTTTCACGTTCTATTTGAATAGCTTTCTCAACATATTCACTTTCATTCGATGGATGGTTACTATTAGTTTCATTTAATCGGTTCCATATGGTAAAATCTCACGTTTTTTATGAAAATATGTACAAAGTGGTCAACTTAATACAATTATGAGATGTAATTGTAAGGTGACGGTAAATCCTTGTGAAGTTTCTTGTCAATCATGTCCAACATTACCATACAATAATTAGTGACTGCATATTCTGTTCAAATACATTTTCATATTGCTGTGTCACTTGAGCACAGGCTTAATTTTTTCATTTTATACTGCTGGACTAAGACTTAAAGTTCAATTTATCGGACTTATGACTAATCAGTCAACCTATAAAGTTTAAAATAGACTTTTGCTGCAAATAAAGTCTTTACTTGTGCAAAACTTCACAAGCAAGAGGCTTGATATAACTGTTATCAAAAATACACGTGTTAATTTGGGTCATGTAATTGAGGCTCTTAAGTGAACGTGATTTGTTGCGAATCGTAATCTACACGTATGGTTGGAAGGTCCATCAGTGGAGTAACCATCTCCCAAAACTATTCAATTTTATGAAATTCTACAGAAGTAATGAGCTTATGAAAGGTTCAGAGTTGCCACTTTCGACTGCATGGTTATTTAGGGAGACCGATACCGTTTTTCCAGAAGTCGACATGTAAATAAGTGTATAGATGTGCATTAAAGTATTCGTTTTATGATACCCACTTAAGTATGTACAATGGATCGGTCAAACAGTGATATAAAATGTTTCTTCTAGTTTCTTCATGTCAATTAATATCTGTCGTGTACGTTTCCAATACGCCCAATAAGCGTAACAGTAATCACTATATTTCAGTGCACTGTTTGTTACTACAGGCTAGATGAGATACATAGATGAAAATAACATATCTTCTCATCTACATTCGACATTTATGCAAAAAATCAAGTAAATGAACAATGTAACTATAAAGACATTTATTATGTGCACACTATGTTTCATGACAGGTAGTTTAAGAAAATCATTTTAAAGTTTGTAGTACGTTTAGTTTACAATTATAATAGCACTCAATGATGGTTCATTGTAACCAGAATATTGGTAGACAGATATTAATAGTGATTCTCTGTATCTCCTATTTTATATCAACACGTATTCGATAGAACTGAGAAGGAATCTATCATTGCGAAAATGCTGTAAATAATCTGTAACCCATTTACTTACAGCCTTGCCATGTGTCACTAACAAATCAATGCAAAGATAAAATGAAGTTCATATAATTTACTAAAACAAATCAGATCAGTTCATCATCAATCTTTCTTTAAGTTGTTATTCATCGAAGACTGACATCAGTTGGTGGAACAAAGGAAACCTGGGAGCACTGGACAGCTGTATCGTCCTAGTATGGGACTCCTCAGCAGTGCGCGCCCACGACCCCACCAGCAGGAGTCAAACCCGCGACCTTCAGGTTCCGCGACCAGCGCGTTACCATTGAGCCACTGGGTCAGAATCCAATGCTCCATATTTCCAACTTCTGTTAGGTCGTGGGCGCGCACTGCTGAGGAGTCCCATACTAGGACGATACAGCTGTCCAGTGCTCCCAGGTTTCCTTTGTTCCACCAACTGATGTCAGTCTTCGATGAATAACAACTTGAAATATTTCCAAATCTCCACAACCCCCTCAAAAATTTAATCTTTCTTTAGTTGATAATGGCTTATCAACTTTTCATGATGAAAGGTATCAAAATACAGCTTCTTCAGTGAATCCAAGCCCTGCACAGATATGAACTAGCCATCCTTAATATTCATCAACCGGCTGAAATTCCTTTTTCATCGATATAGGTACACAGATTTTTTTCAAAACACATCATGAATGTTTATATATAAGTGGGGAATGACTGATTATAGAATGACAAAAAAATTTTCATCAACATAAAATGTTTATTTTTGTATTCACGTATGAAAATCAATTTCTCAAGAACTTTTCTTTTGGGAACATCTGCCTTCATTAAGCCTAGTTTTGTTGTTTATACATGTTTGTCAAATAATTCTGCCAACTGATCTACTCACTTTCATAGGCCTATATATATATATATATATATATATATATATATATTTGAAATAAACAATAAGCATCATACTAAATTTAGGACAGTACACAGACTAACAGCTCATGAATACTGCTGTAAACATTTCTCAATAAAAGGCTACAGAGCTGTCATACCACTTTCGTGTGTACTCAATCATAATTTCGTACTATAATTATGAGATATTCTGTCCACCTGATAGTTAAATAGAACACTAGAGGATAACTGAGGCAATGCATTTAATACCCGTAATGAAGACGGCAATCGGATGGTAAATATATATATATATATATATATATATATATATATATATATATGGTGTTAACAAAAATAAACCAGAACAGTATTTCCAGTTAAAAAAAAATTAACAGCTCGTTTTGCTGATCGTGAAGAAAAAAAGAAAAGATTTAACTGATAAGCAGTTAAGCGACAGCTTTCCAGAGGATGATACACCTACTGAGTAGCATGAACCTTATCTTATCATACTCTTAGGGGAGTTTATTATTATTACCACAATATCTCATGAAATTACACCTTTCTAGGCGGTCTGCTTAGAAATTCGGTGTACCAAAATTTTTCATGGTCTATATTACATCAAATTACTCTTTTTGTACTTGTTTCAAATATTCAAAAGTGAATAAATTGTAAGACGTACTCTTGTGCATTCCTAAAATGTCACCAACTTATCATCATAAAGTTAACTACACAACTATAAAAAGATAACATGGTAGATGGTAGTTGGCTCTCGAGTTCATAATAGTCCATCACATAAATATTACAGGGGTAGTTAGCAGGTAATTCAAATGTTTATATTGGTTGAATAGTCCTTCATCCTCAAGTCTGCAGATACTTTCCTATTTCACCCCTTCAAGGGGACAACAGACCAACAAACTAGACGATAACCTAAGAACAACTGGTCGGTGTGTATTTTTACTTGTCTTTTTTAATTATTAGGACTATTTAACTACGATGGTTGTGTAATTTGAAGTTATTCTGTAAGGAGTAAATTTGTTGAAATATCATACTCAAAATCCTACGCTGTATAAAAAATGACTGTCTTAAACAAAGTGATAATCCTTATTTTTATTCTCACTGCAAATAACCAATGATGTACTTGAGCTTGTTTTGGCATAGACAATTGTTTAACCTTACTAAACTTCTTCGTAAACGCACAGCGGAAACAGAGACACTTCGCGACATTGGATTATCTTTCATATAAGTTTGCTTTACCGAACATGAAGTCAGAATAAGCATAATGTGTAGGTAAAAATGAAATTAATTATAGATAAGCAATATATTACACTGGTATTGGAAGCATCATAAAATGTGAATAAAATGGTATAACGATTTTCCACAGTTTCTAAGTTTTACTTCTTTATCAACAAAACAAAACGTAGCACCATACTACCAAAGGAAATGTTTAGAAACATTCATAGTGTATTTTACTTTCTTGTTTTGAGTCTTCAAAACCAAATGCAGAAGTATAAATAAGGTTAAATAACCATTAAATGGATAAATAACTGTGAAAATACATAGTTATGAGAGTTAGTTTTTCAGGCCAAGTGAAAAGACTTCGCTTTTAGCAGCTCCAGCCAACACCCGTATTTCTGTGTATTCCGTGTTTCTTATCTTGTTGCATGAAAGCAGTGTCCACAATTGGAAAGTAATACAGTGAATTACATTAAATTATAACATTGATTCTCTCAAGCAAAGACTATTCAGTTTACCTTTCAGATAAGTAGTAACACATATTGAAATAAAGTTTATTCAACATATAGATAATAATGATGGGTGGTGTCCAGCAGTGAAACCTAGGAAGCACTTTTCATCCTATTTAGGACTCACCAGCTAGATTTGCTTGCCTCTCAGTGATCGATGCTGTTTCTACTAAGACGAACTCAGGACCGATCACTTCAAACGCCACTAGGCCACTGAGTTACGATGGCCACTTCTCGTGCAACAGGTATAGCTCATATTATGCTGTTTGCATGATCCCATCATTAGTAAGAAAGTTGAAAATACAGACAATAAATGTCGAAGCATTTACGCGGGATCTTAAATGTCAATATAGACCAGCCAATTTGTCCACTCATTAACAGGATAACATAAGAAACATCATATGAACAGATTGATAGTCAAATAAATGTTTATTGAAATGTAGAAAGTGCTAACTGTTGCTCAAAATTTCACAGATAGGGCAAATACAATGATTATTTCAAACACGGATAAGCGATGATCTAATAGAATTCTCGAAACAGTTCTGCCTTTTTCGTGTATTTTTTTTTCAACTTCAGTGACACTGAAAGTAAAACTACCTACTTCACTGGTTACTTTTCTTAAATTATTTTTTCCTCAATCAGATAGTATTATGAACTGTTTCTCAGCATTTGATGAATGTCTACATGACCCTATCTGCCTTCAATATTATATAAATCTGCGATATGGATGCCCAGCAATGAATAATCAATTCAATACCTGTAGAAATACTTTCCAGTGTATAAATGCAATTAAAGGTTTTCATAATGAAACAAACTCTTTTGTAAATAAGGCTATATCATGTACTTGTGAAAAAAATGATTTAGACTGTCAACAGATTCAGAAAATATTTGTGCCTACATGCATTCGTCAATCGTCTGGATTACAAATTGACTGTTATCATGCTTGGATACAGTGTCAAAATGATGCAGTGTGTAGGTATGTCACAAAATGTTTAAAGTCACTTCTTGTCTTAATTTTCATAAATATAATACACCTTAATCAATGTATATAACTCTATATGATCTTTAAGGATGGTATTGAATATCACTTGCTGGTTTCCACTGCTTTTTCCGGAGGCATCAGCATAATCGTGATCAAAATAGGATACTTGTACAGCTTCCATAAAGCGTCGTGTTCATCAGATGCTTTAGTATTCTTTGGAATATGATGTCTCCAACTATTTAGCTGTCTAGAACATCAACTGTCATCAAAACAGTTGAAATCTTTGATTATGCTGTTCACTAAATTTTTAACTTATCCTCGATTATAAACTACGATTATGAAAATGGTATATTGAAACTTCTAATCGACGACGGTCTTGATTTCCGCCTAACAACTATTGTAGCTTTGGATGAATGAGATCAACTGAGAGTTTCAAAATAGTCATTTTGACAATGTAAGCGATTAGTGAAAGCTTTTAAAGAGTCAGAAGCATAAGAGAAATTGATTTTTCATGTTTGTCCGATTACTTGTTATTGAAAATGATCCTAATTTTATTTACTACTGACGATCAGCACTACAAAGCTATTGATTCATGATACGTAAGAGAAATAAATTAAATCGTTTGGAAATAACAAAGCGAAAAAAATTAGCAGCATTTCAGTGAGAAAAGTTGGTTGTTGTTTTCAAATCTGAGTTTCACATATCTCCAAGATAGAGCAAATCTAACTTGGTTATGGTTGTCCTGTGGTTTTAGTTGGTAAGTTCCGGTTGACTAGGTTAATGTACGATGATCCGCATGAATAACACCAAATTCACCGTAACTAACACTTAGATGGAAAATCAAATGCTTGCGCTATATGACAGTCTAAAATCTCAACCCATGATTGTTTTATTTATATCTTAATGTATAATATCACGCAAAACCTTCCAAGCCCTCAAACTGAATTAATATGAGTGTAAAACATGAGCACTGTGGTTGAATGTAATCGAATATTACATGTTTTATTTGATTTATAAAGCACAGTGATATAGTATTATTTACTTTATGACTTTTCGAGCATGAATCATTCCTCATTATCATATCAATGCAATCAAACCACTTTCAACAACCGGTTTTAATAAGCTCGTCACTTCACATTATTTGCTTTTATTAGTAGTAAAGTCTTCCGTATGCCTAATATAAGTGTTGTATCATTCCTCTTATATATATATATATATATATATATATATGAATCGAAGAGTACTATTATTATTATCACTATTATTATTATTATTTGCCACTTGGGTTCGTATGGAACATAGTACACCAGACACAAATAGCAGTTGCACTCCACAGGAATAATTGAATTCAGTGACCGAGAATAAAAAAATAGGAAAGTGTAGATATGCTGTTGCAATTTAGTTTCACTAAATTGTTTCATGGATAATTTTGTTGGTTCAGTCCACTTTTGCTTCCTAGTTGACAAGGTGTTTTTGCAAATCACTCAGCATTTGATTGGTCAAATAGCTTAATTTATATGTTATCTTTTTACACTTCAGAACTAATTATGATCTTTTGGTTTCCGAATGTCAAAATCCCGATGGCCTTTGCTCTTTAAATCCTACAACATGTTTAAACTCTTATCGAAGGTTGTGGACAGGTTCCTGGGCTGGTGGCTGCAGTTGTGAAGTAGCCAAGTCAAAGCAAGAAACCTCAGACAATTCGCCCTCGGGATGCAATGATTTTGGAAAAGTTTTAACACAACCTCCATGTATTCGTAAGTGTTGAGCTATATATAAGATGCTTTATTTTACAACAACAAAAGACTGAGATAATGTCTGCACGACACTTTTGATAAGCGGCTTCCAAAATAATAGCCAGCTGATAGCTCCCTGCCCAACTGCCTATAGTTTAAGAGAAGAAGATGAGCATCTCAGTCAGTTTTATACTTCCAACCATCAAGTATGCTTGCATAGGTTCGTTAGCTGAAGCCCTTTTTTCTTAAAACTTAGTCCACCAATCGCTTAAAGCACGTTATCATAAGTGCCGAGATTACATCAATATTCTGATTCCCGAATTCACTTCCAAACATACTTTTGTCTTCTAAATTTTAGTCATCTTACACTCTAAGCTTGTACAACCAGGTTATAGTATGATACTGATGCACCTAACATGATGCTATTTTTTATCGATGCCTAAAAACCACTGTATTCATCCCCTTCCAGGTACTATTTCGCATCCTAAGATAGTCAGTCACCTCATAACTGTGAAAACATTTTCCTTCTGTCGAAATTTCTGCCTTTCAGTCAGCTTGATCACTGGATATCAGCTGATGTCACAGTGTTCCTTAGTTGAAAATCATGACTAAGAGGTAAGTGTGATTGACAGACTAAGACGATACATCTCCTGAAAGATCAAGCATAAGTTACATTTTCCTCAGCCCCGTTTCAGATGCAACATGGGTGGAGCCATATATAATTAGTTCAAAACAATCTATGACTGGAAAAGTCTCAGATATCTTACTTTCAAAAACTTAAATTGCATCTTTGTGAAACCTCAATGTTTAGCTAAAAGATTTAGTATTCATTGTTGAACTGCTAATTTTTTCCACAAAGCTTCTGAAAGAAAAGTTATGTCGATTACACTAAAATTGCAGCCTCAAACTTCTGAAGCATACTTTGACTAGTGCACATTCTTATTCATTGTTATAATGTTTAATAACGTTTAGTGACTAGAATGATTACCAGGTTAGATAGTATATTTCCAGAATAATAATGACTATATTATTAAATATTCTTGAAGGAAAAAGATTTCCTGTCCCAAAAGTAGTTTTTCTAATTTCGTTGCTTAGCTTTCTGTATGAGTTTTGGAGCGATTTCAAATGCGGTAAGCAATATAAGCTGTCAGATAGCCCAGGTTTCACAAATAAACAGCGTAATTTTGCTTTCAGCTGACAGGTCTTTCTCATTTTAACGAGTAGGTGTTATGTTGTCCTATTAAACTGGACTATGATCAGAAAAAATAAGTCATGCATGTTTTTCTAAGCTAATTAATCAACCTGTTCTCTACTATAAGTACCTACGGCGCTTATCTTTCTTCTAAGTTTCATGTCTTAATGAGCAAAGCTTACCATTCCAATTAGGATCACTTTTATTTTTAAAGCTTTCGATAAGGAAATCCTTGCATTTAAATGATTTTTTATCGAATTCTGAACAAACTAGGTTCATCACATTATTTTTGAACTTGCTAAGACGTTAAGTTCATTAAATGATCATCAGGATCGGAAGAAAAATTGCAACATTCATGGGCCACTTTATACTTCTGTAATTTATAAACAAAGAGGAGAGTAGGCATCGCATGAATAAAAAAGTTACTTCTACATATACATGATACAGTTAACAACTGAATGATTGCTTGAAAGTGTTTGACAAAGTAAATTTTATTGCATAAAGATCCCGTAGAGGTATCACTTATCTCAATTTTTGAATAATGTATAAATATTCGATGGTACTAAATGTTATTTTTACCGGCTATGTGACTGTCTTCTTAATGACTCTAATTTTCTCTTGCGAATCTTTACATGACAACTTTCAGAAAGCAGCGTGAACACAACACAAAAAGAAAATGAGGAGTTAAAAGAAAAACCGTGTAAGTTATTGTTTATCACTTATCATCTGCTTTCACGAATGCTTTTAAGAGCAATCAGCTCGTTTGTTTTATTCTATGTTGGTTGATAGCACTTTTATGTCAGAGATCATGCCGTGTCAGTTTTATTGAATGTTTTGAAGCAGAAAATCTGCAAAACTGTGGGAAATATTAATGTTTATATGCAAGCGATAAATAATTTCAAAATTGGTCGTTGAGTTTAAACACTAGTTTATGCGAGTAAAACAGGTAACTCTGGTTACCAAGTTCATCAAGTTCTATTGTGAATGCGTCCTTGAGCAATGCTGTTGAGTTCAATCCTAAGCCTGCTGTATAATCTAGTTTAGTCTAGTCGACCACAGTCAGGAAGATCTTCGGTGACAGAAGGCAGCAACCTCGTTTTACTTCTATCTTCAATTCGATAGCGTCACTGAGCTGTCCATTGTGAATCACTTGGCAAGTAGTGTCTTCATGTAGCTGGTGAGTGAGGTTGATAAGTGTTTGTGACACCCGTAGTGTTGAAGCAGTTTCCCAATTACTTCTCGGTTGACGCTGTCGAAGGCCTTTCGGAAATCGATCGAATTGGGGCAAGATAAACAGTTGACTGCCATTCTATGCTCACTTCTACAATGATGCGTAGCGTAGCATAGCACTGCAATTTGATCTGAATTTTATTTCTGCTTCCTGAAGCCAGGCAGCCTCCTTGGGTCGTATTGTTGAACCCAGCGCATTGTTTAGTTTCTCCAAGATGACGTGGCCTAATATTTTGCTTGGGCTGGACAGGAGTATGATTTCTCGCCAGTCCTTGCAAAGACTTACGTCTCCTTTATTTGGGAGTTTGACAAGGTAGCTCTTCTTCTGATCTGCAGGTAAATTTCCTTCCTCCAAACCTGTTTGCAGTAATGGTATTAGCACGTAAACTGCTGATGTCTGAGTCTGTTTTCGGTCCTTCTGGAGGACTTCCATCTCACTCTGTTGCTTTCCTGGATTTAAGCAGATTTATGGCGTTCAGGAATTCAATTCTGCTTTTGTAGGAGGACTTGTGTTAACTGGTAGTTCTGCCGTTGCTGGTGGTATTTCTGTACGAGTTGCAGGTGATTTTAGTGCTGGTAGATTCTAGAGTTTTTTGTAGTGGTCGGCTCATCGATTCTTTTGTAGCTCCTCTTTGGTAACTAGATTTCCTTCTTTATCTCTCATTGGTTCCATCTGTGTTCATCTCTGCCCTCCTAGACAGTAACCTGGTCATTTGATTTAGTGTTGTCAGGTCTCCGTCTCTCCTACCTGCAGCATGTTCTGCTTCACTTGCCGATGTGTCGTAGAAGTGTCTTTTGACTTCAGGCGCACTCTTCTTCGCTTCTCTGTCCAGTGTAGTGTATTATACGTTGTGCTTAGTCCTACCTTTCTTTGTGCATCCATGCACTGGTTTATCTTCTGCTCCACCATCCTCTTCTCTCTCCTCTATCACATTCCATGTGTCCGTCGAGATCCATAACAATTCCTTGTCTCGCCTCTTCTTCTTCTTCTTTCCTAACACGGTTATGCAGGTTTGTTTCCACATCTCTTTCAAACAGTTCCAGTGTTCTCCCATGTAGGTTTCCTCAGGGATGTTGCTCAATATCTCCCATTTTGTCCTGATGGCTGGCGACGTGAAGATGTCCCTCATAGTTTCGTCCTACAGTTCAGTTTCTGATCTGGGTAGGTGTTCAACTTGAACTGTGGTCTATCATTAACTTCTGTGGAGGCTTCCAACTTGATTTTTAATGCAGGCTTCTTGCACTAGATAGTGAGTGGTGTGAAACTAAATCCGCTCCACTTCTTGATCTTGTATCCAGTAGACTGCATCTCCACCTTCTGCACATCGAGATGAAGTCGATCTGATTCGTAGTGTATCCACTAGATGACTGGTGAAATACATGTGGGTTTGTGGTTATCCTTGTTTTTGTACACACTACCTTCAATCCTCAAATCGTTGAATGCGCAGAAGCCTGCTAACAGTTCTGCATTCTCACCCATTCCTGTGACTGTTTCTTGACTCATGGTGGATGCCTTCTCTTCCTGTGTTGTCCACTCGGAGTTTAACATTCATGTCACCCCACCCTTTACATTGAATTTTATTGACTTCAACTGGGGTGGTCTTGTCCAGTACTGATTGCAGTTATCTGTAAAATCCCTCCTTCTCCTCTTCATCTGCATTATTTGTAGGTGTGTAGTGCAGCATTGTGTGGTTGTGACTTTCCTTCATTCTGAGTTGAATCCATCTTGCTGTGATGATGCTGATCCAGCAGGAGGAGATTAGTTCCCACTGAATGAGAGCCTCCGATACTCTTGGAGACATCATGATAGCCACTGGAAAACTTAGTTTGCTCATGGTTGTCATATAGGTGATAATATCGGAGTAGACTATTGACTTCTCTCCAGTCGACACTTTGGAGAGTCCACTTTCATTCCATCTGTAGATTCCTCGCAGACTGCGAGCACTTCCATGCCATATCTTCTCATCTCTTTTGCAACCTGAGTAGCCTTGCCAGGTTCATACGCTGTTTGGGCATTCCATGTCATCATATTCACTTTGCTTTCTTCGAGAGATGGGAGTACACATCGGCCAATTGGCCTCACGAAGGCTTTTACCAACAGGCGTCGTTTCGTCTCCTCGATTCCAGGGAGGAATAAGTTTATTTTTACTCTTTTATATTTTGTGTGTGCTTTAACGTTTCTTTCACGACTGAATTGTTTTTACGGGGTAGGGTTTCTAGCCCTGTGCTCAACCTCCCTCTATATCCGGGCTCAGGATCAGCTAGTAACTGGTGAATTAGTTAACCAGTCGTGGTTGGCATGTCCTTTATTCATCGTTATCACCTTGACATTATTATTTATATTGTCATCACCAACGTTACGTTTAAAACATTTATCATATCAACCGACAAATCTACATGACTGGTTTAGTTCTTCATGTATATTAATCTATTCGTATATGAGTATAGCCCGAAAACAATATTATTCTCTTATTTGTCTTGTTCCAATAATGACATTCATCATCAGGTGACTGCAAATATTGAACGATTTTGTTGAGTACAGAAACGAAAAGAAAATCACAAATTTTGCGTAATAAACATATATGTAGTTAGTATATTTCTAAGTTAGTAAACAAAAATGATGATCGTGACACTCCATTGTTTTAGGATACGAAATAAGTTTTTATCTACTTTTGTTATTTCTCATTTACTGGGAAATGGCTGAAAATAAAAGACGATACATTCATCGGTTGTCTGACAATTCCATTATTTATGTTGAAGTAAAACGTCAGCACTTAATGACTCAAACTTCATTCTACTGATGTAGTATGAACCAGATGCATCATAGACAATATGAACCGTGTGCATTTTCAATTTGCGAATGACTATTTGTGCAAACAACTGGTACACTTTTAATAAAAGGTGAGGTACATTATCTAAAAACCACCTTCCAGAAAATTTTATCACCGTGTAAAGTCTTCAATAGTCATCCAAATAAAACGAATTAAAGGTATGCAGAGATAAAAACGAGATAACCAATTTTTTCATGTTAAAGCTTATTATATGAGGTAATAGTTGACAGATATCAGCTTTTGAAGACAGATTTCATCTCATTATGAATATTAAGCTTCTATAAAATTAAATCGTCAATATAAATATTCACTACAAATATGAAGCCTGAAAAACCCACCCTGACTAAAATTTTTTATTTAAAAAACTACAGTCAGAAGATGCACTATTTGTTCGCTGTCTAAACTGACCTAACTGTACAATCGAACTGTCAACTTCATAGCATTTTCACATCTTATGTTTGCCTAATTTTCAATTGATTAGGTATGGTTTATCAATAAGGACCCTATAACTTATAATTGAAACCAGTAATAACACTGCATACGTCTAATCGAAATATCGGAAGCTCTAATAATTATTATTATTTTATTATCATTTGTCCCTTGGATTCCTAATGAAACATAGGGATTCAGTAGCACGTCTCCACTCCACTCTCCTCTCTGCAATCTTTTCAACCTGGCTTCACGACTAACCACAACCTCTCCTTTCTTCCTCACATACCATCTCCTTCAATTCACCCTCGCTTCGGACACCCAACTCATAACTTCCATCTGGGTTCCACTCGAGCTGCTGACCTGGCGCCTCATGTATCTGAATGGTCTTCTCAGTGTATGCCCAGTCCAATCCATCTCCACTTCCTTCTGCATATTTATTGGTTTATAGATTCTTGGTTGGCTCGTTGATGCAAGCCAGAGTTCCTAGTTGCTTATTCTTATTATTCTGGCCGTCTGAGCTTCAGTAACGAGCCAGTGTAGGCACTTGTTGATGAATGTCTGTAGTTTGTTGGAAATGATTTTCGTAACGCGCAAATTCTCTGAACCACATAGGAACACTGACTTGACTAGTATTAGTCTTGAAAATCCGGATGTTGTTCACTCTTTATGCTAAGTGCAGCAAATCTCCACACTGATTTCAGGGTAATGAAGGCCTGTCTTGCTGTCTCCCTATCCTGGATTTGATGCCGTCGTCTGTGCCGCCTGTAGTTGAAACGGTGCTGTCTAGATAGGTGAAAGAGGCTGCTTCCTATACGTTTCCCCATTGATAGTGATTGCAGCTTGTTGTCGATGGTGGCCAATAATTACGGTAGAAAAAATTGCCACTTTTGGGCACACGATTTTGGGTTCATAGAACATTCGGAACCATCATAAGTCTAAATGACTATTACTTTTAACCCTACCGTTCACTTTTTGCCTTAAGTAGCACTGACTAACAAAAAATATTTGTCGTAGACACGTTGAGAGTCTCTAGTCAGGCAAAATACTTCCTAGTAAACAACAAAAAAAGAAATTATGTTGATAACATGCAGTTACATGTGAAACTGGGTCGAATGTCTTTTAATGTTTGAACAGTTATTAGAGATCATCGCTTGATGTCACTTCCCACCTGATAGATAACATCTGCGAAGCTCATAAATTCTCAGTGGATCTCTGTCACTTTGATCTGTTACGCAATAATCTACACCTATATCTGCTTGATTGCATATACTTATTCATAAAAAAGTGCTTAACCTGCTGAATAATAAAATATTCCCGGAATTTTAGATTAAAACGTACAAAACATTTCTTCATTAATAAGTTCATATTGAGTATCAAACATTTTTCTGTAAAACATGCTTGTTTATTTTTATTTCAGTATCATGTGTCGTGATGGATAAAGTCAAGACTATACCAGAAGATTTTCTAAGACTTCCACAAACGTATGTTTATCAAGAATCAAGTCAGTCAACAGCAGATTGTTCATTACTGTGTAGTTGTTATTTTGGCTGCCGATATGAAATGTGTTTCTGGAAAGAGACAAATGTCTGGCATGCATATTATTTATCGAATCATACAAATCAACAAGTCAGTCTACCAACACGCATACAAACAATCAATATCTACCGACCAAATTTATCACTGGCTTGTATTTATTTGCCGAAATTAAATCGTCAGTGCCTATGTTATCAAAACGATCAGGTTGTATGTAACGTGGTCAGTCAGCAAAATCAGTATATTGTAACAGGTTAGTATTTTATTTTATATTCCATTCATTCTATTCAAATGCGCATATTCTAAATGTGAACTGAGCTAATACTAATAACAACAATCAAAGACCTGAAACTTTTCCTAAGCAATAAACTCATTATATACACTGAATACAGTGTGATTTCATTAAGAAGTTTGAATTAAAGGTGACTGACAAATGAACTAGTGACAGTTATATTTTGTAACTGAATGTACACAGTTCAAAAGTGACAGTGTATTTGACTTACCGAAGCCATCTAACGATTCAGAAAGGGATGAGAAACAATAGAAATGATTATCGTGGATTTTCGAGAGACAGAAATATGCAAGAAGCTTAAAATATTGTCTTTTAGAGTAGAGTAGTTAATTAATTTTAATTCTGTTTAAAGTAATAGAAATTCGATGAACCTTTTAATGACACAATATGAGTTGTATTCACGAATTGATCCTTTAATCTGTGGCGAAGATTATGGCTAACAGCTGTGTCAACATACTTTAAATAGTTAGCTAAAAATTTCAAGGTGGTAACAACTACGGACTGACTTGAATTAGAAAAAGGTTGAAAAACATGGGACCACTGAATTGGATTCCTCAGCATTGAACATCTATGACTCCATTAGGGATCAAAAACAAAACCTTAAGCTATCGTGGCCAGTAACTTACCATAGGGTCACTTGGTCAGAGTTCAATATAGCGTGATCATTATCCAATATCAAATGTAAGCATCTACTTCGCTTCCTACTCATTTGACTCCACAGGTCACGGCTTTTGATTAAAACGTTGAGAAATCTATCTCAAAGCGTATCACAAGTAAGTACCAGACAGTAATACAGTTTTGAAGTTTATAGGTATTTATCAATTTATTACCTCTGCAGTTCTGGGTAATCCCATACTACGATGAACCAACTGTTTAGTGCTGTTAAGTTTTCTATGGTTCGCTAACTGACGTCAGTCCGTCATGAACACTAAAATCAATCACTTGACACGAACCTCTAAACTTAATAACGATTTATTCCGATTTTTTCTAATGGTAAAAGAAGTGGATTTACGTTGAGTTACAGAATGAAATTGCTAAATATATGCATGTTATTCCATTTTTAGTATTACTTGAATTCCTAACCTTTAAGAAGTTATATAAACTGATAAAAGTGTAAGAATTCTGTATAAGTGTCTTTGAAGTGTTTATTATATACAAGAAACTAGGAAATGCAAACTGTATTCTTGTGTTTGAGTAAAAAATCCGCTAAACCTTTCATCATCTTAAAATCTGATTTTCACCTGAGAAAGATCACATTGTAGAAGTTAGCTCATCTTTTGAGGGAAATGAGTATCATTTTCACATGCAGTCACTTAAACGTATACTTGAGTTATTTCATTTTGTCTGCTTGAAACTAGCCATGTAGATTTACATAATACCCATCATATTTATCATCATAATCATACAATAAAATGAACTAAGGATTGAATGACTTCATTCAAAAGTAAGTGATTTCCTACTCTAAAAACTCACAATTTATCACCCTTCAGTCCTAAATTTAGTCAATTTTTTACCATATGGTGTTTTCCCAGCTTTGATATTTGGTCGTTAGCATATCCTCGTAGAGTTGGGTAAAATCTTCAGCCTTAGCTAATTTAGCTGTTACATAGATGTTTCAATTGCTTCGGGTGACATTTATTGTTGTCCAGTCGAAGACTGGGGAGGAGATTTTCACAACATACTGATTTCTTTGACCCTTCATTTCATTCAGTAAGTCTAAGAAGATGATTCTTTGACTTCAGTGGTTCTATTGGTTACTCTCACACTGTACATGAATATTGACTTGTTTGATCAATTTATATCTAACTGGTGGGTACCTGTTTTCTCCTTAAGTAAATCTTAAATAAGGTTTGTAACCACGTGTTGCTTGATAAAAGTTTCACTCCAAATAGGGGCTTCTAATAAATACCTTATCGATTAAAATCGAAATATCTCCATCCTAAGCCTCTTTGAGAGATATCAGTCTCTTTTTCTGATGTTAAGTAAATTGAATGTTTCATCACAAAGCTCTGTACGACTTTGTAGCAATCTACGTTTGTTGAAACAACAATCAGTCACATGATAATCTCAACACTAAGATGGCACTCAGCACAGATTGACATCATTTGGAGAAACAATGAAAACCTGTGAGCTTTGAACAGCCATTTCGTCCCACTATGGAACTCCTTAGCAGAACGCACCAGCGACCACTCTAAAGATCGTAGCCAAGAGCGTCGGATTTCATGACGAGCACCCTATTACTGAGCAGTGGTGCATGTTTTCTTATTTCTGTCAATCTGTGAAATAGAGATCTGCGCCAAACCTTGAGGTCCTGAGTTTGATCCCTGAGGGGTCATAGGTATGTACTACTGAGAAATCCCATACTACGATGAGTTTGCTGTAGTGTACTTTCAGGTTTTTACAGTTCTCTAAGTGATGTTGGCATGTGATGAATACAAACTCGAAATAAATAAAACCTCAAAAACCTTGTCTTATGAAGTCATTGGGGTAGGTATACCATTGAGTTGTAAAGTGGAAAGTACACTTGGCGACTGGATACCCGTAAACAGCAGACTGAGTGCATCTGTCAGGACTAGGAAGGATCGTGAGACGAACTGATACCTACTCGTAACCTCCACTTACGCACCCACCGACTGCAGTGCAAATGATGCAAAGGAAGAGTTCTATTAAAAGCTGTCAACCGTAGTATAGAAAGAAAAATTTTCAGATTTAGTCATAATGGTAGGTAACTTTAACGTCCAGGCAAGAAATCTGAGCCAACTAGAAAGGCATCTTGAGGGTGTCTACGGAATCCTATGCCAAAGGACCGATAACGGTGATCTTCTGTTGCAGTTTTGTTCCAACAATTACTTGTTTCTGGTCAGCACTAACTTTGTGCATAACGAGACACTGCCTAACATGGCGTCCGCCAACACCAAACCAAAGATGGACACATATAAACCATATTGTTAAAAGGAATCATTAGAGAAGATGGGTGGAGGAACATCGATCTTTCTGGAGTACCTATTTGGACTCCCAACACACTTTAGTATGGCCTCATATGTGTGTACTCCTAACTGGTCACAGGACACAGGCTATAGTACAGCCTCTTTATGGAAGATCAGAAGATGGCAGCGTCAAGTTTCTAAATTCTACATTGATTCGTCAGGCAGTCACATTCATGATCTTCGCTGGATAATTACTCTCTCCGTTTGTAAAAGAAAATTAATTACAACCTCATTATCAGTGAAACTGATAAAATAAAGCAATCGGTTCCAGCACGACAAAAGTGTATTCATGCACACACTCACATCATGGCATACTCTGATGTAGTGAAAAAGTCCTCTTTTAATGTCAAAACGGTACAACAACTTTGGTACAATCAGTAATCAGGTTTGCATTATTAGTTATCGAAGAGTAGTAAATTCATTGTAGTGTTTAGTTTCAAATACATTTTGGAGCATGGCATCCAGCCTAGTCCAGCAAAAATATTAAATGCCAATCAAATATCTGTGTTGTAACATCTTTGACTGCCGTACTGCATGAGACAGTTTAGAATTTTTTAAGAAAAACTATTTCCTCTAGGGTACAGGTGCGTCTTGATGATAAATACAGAAAGCACGAAACCAGCACCCCCTAACATATTCAACACGTACACTGATTTACTCACTGTGAAGCTACTAAATGAAAAAAATAATCATTTTTGTGGTATACATTCACATGTATGAATCTTCAAGCCTCCAAGTGTTTCACTACTTTGCTGCAAAAATGCGAACACTAAATTTGAAGTAGTTTTCATTAGTGGTAGAAGAAATAAACGGTTAATTCGAAATTTGAGAGAACTAACATATAATGGTGGTAAATTTATTTGCATTCACTATTCTCTATACAGCCAAAATAATCAGAAGGTTTTTGATCTCTCTCAGTTTGAGAAGTTTACAAAGTATTCAGTAAAGAGGTAAATAGTAGCTACTTTGTAGTGAATCTCGATGTAAACTTGATCCACCTTTGTCACTTCTGGAGTTTTTACGAAGTTTTTCTTTCACTTAAGTCTAATAAATACTTTTGAGTAATCTTTACATAGACAGTTGAGTAAGACTTAGTGTAACAATGCTACCATCTATTCAGAGAAAAATGGATAGATAAAAACACAAAAATGATTTTCATTTTGGGATAAACTTGTAAAAAGAAGACAAAACCAATTGACTTTCATCATTTAAAAGTTAATAAAACCGATTAATTCAGTTCAATCAAGGACGGTATACTACAAGCGAAAACACTAAAACTATACCCGTCGCACGAGAAGTGACTATCGTGGCTCGGTGGTGTAGTGCATAACGCTTTGGCGTTTGAAGTGATCTGTTTTGAGTTTGAATCTCAGAGGGAACAACATCACCCACTAGGAAGCGAATGCGTCCATCTGATGAGTCTTAAATAGGACGAAATGAGCAACCTGAGTTCCACTGCCTGTCACTATCCATCATTACTAAACAGAACTTTTACCAACTGAAGTTTTATGCTATATATATTCAAGGATTCATTGAAATGTTTCATCAAGGAATGAAAATCTCATCAGGTGCTGGGGTACCTGTCACTGAATTGTTCAAGGTTTTATAGCACTGCCATAAGTAGACATCAATAGACATATGTAGAATCGCATTCATATTTATAAACAGAACTAGCAGTTGCATCAAAGGTGATTCATGTTTTAAACACTGCTTTGTACATAAAAGGTCTTTTTAATGATTCATTGTTGACTGTCTTGGTTATAATTAAGCCTAACATTTTAACACACATCAGGCGATTAAAATTTTTGCAGTGATAATAACTCAGTAGATAACGAATTCCAGAACTAAACATTACGTAATCTTAAATTCATCAGAGTTTAGATTTTTAGTGATTAATAGGTTTACAGAAACCTTGATTAGACTTAAAATACAGTGTACTACTAAGCCATCAAAAAATTGATGATAATTTATAAA